CTGCAGTAAAAACAAAAACTGACAAATGGGGCCTAATTAAACTTAAGAGCTCCTTCTACATGGCAAAAGAAACTATCAACAGAGTAAACAACCTACAGAACAGGAGAAAATATTTGCAAACTATGCATTCAACAAAGCTCTACTATCCAGAATCTATAAAAAACTTAAGTCAACAAGCAAAAACCGAACAAATCCCTTTAAAGTATGGGCAAAAAAAATACAAAGACATTTCTTAAAAGAAGACATACATGTGGCCAACAAGAATATGAAAAAAATGTTCAGTATCACTAATCTTTAGAGAAATGCAAATCAAAACCACTATGAGACAATATCTCACACTAGTCAGAACGGCTATAACTAAAAAGTCAAAAAAATAGCAGATGCTGGCAAGGTTGCAGAGAAAGGGAATGTTTAGACACTGCTGGTGGGAATGTAAACTAGTTCAGCCACTGTGGAAAGCAGTCTGGAGATGTCTCAAAGAGCTTAACACAGAGTTATTGGGTCAGGCATGGTGGCTTACACCTGTAATCCCAGCACACTTTGCGAGGCTGAGGTGGGAGGATCACCTGAGGTCGGAGACCAGCCAGGCCAACAAGGTGAAACCCTGCTTCTACTAAATATACAGAAATTAGCAGGTGTGGTGACACACGTTTGTAATCCCAGCTACTCGGGAGGCTGAGACATGATAATTGCTTTAACCTGAGAGGCAGAGTAAGCTGAGATCATGCCACTGCACTCCAGCCTGGGCAAGAGTGAGACTTTGTCTCAAAAAAAAAACAAAAAAAAAACCACCCAATAGAGCTACCATTTAACCCAGCAATCTCATTACTGGATATATACCCAAGAAAATATGTCATTCCACCTAAGAACACATGCCCATCACTAGTGGACAGGATAAAGAAAATGTGGTTCATATAAACCACGGAACACTACACAGCCATAAAAAAGAATGAGATCCTGTCTTTTGCAGCACATGGATGGAGCTGGAGGCCGTTATCTCAGGCGAATTAATGCAATAGAAGATCAAACACCCCATATTCTCACTTATAAGTTGGAACTAAACAACGAGTACATGTGGACACAAAGAAGGGAACAATAGACCCCAGGGCCTAGTTGAGCGTGGAGGGTAGGAGGAGGGTGAGGACTAAAAAACTACCTATCGGATACAACGCTTATTACCTGGGTGGCAAAATAATCTGTACACCAAACCCCATAACATGCAATTTAACCATATAAGAAACCTGCACGTCATATACCCCTGAACCTAAAAGTTGGAAGAAACAATCACTCTGCATCCCACAAATATATACAATTATTATGTATCAACTAAAAATGAAAGGAACACAAAAACAAACAAAAATCCCTCTCTCATTGCCCCTCTCCCTTTGCTCCCTACTGTAAAAACTTCAGGGAGGATCTGCTACACAAACTTGTGTTGATGTTACTATGGGGAGTCAAGGACAGGTGGTGTAGAGGAGAGATGGAAAAGCCGGGGAAGCAGAAAGGCGGAGTCAGAGGATACAAGCTCCCTGCCTACAATCCCCCATCCCCTACCATCCTCGAAAAAGAATTTTCATCTCCCAAAAGAAATGATACTAAAAGAAGTAGTCCAACGTGTTAGGAAAAGAGTTCCATTTAAATCTTAAAGGACAGTGGGAAAGTTGGGACACTTGTTCAGCTGACACTTGAGATACACGAATATAGTCAACCACATTCAGAGAAACCAAGTTTCTCCACCATCGCTTACAGGCTGTGTGTGGTGATGACTCTAGCTGTCCTGGGGTCAAGACACAGTGACTACATGTATCTGCCAAACTTGGGTGTGAGCCTGCCCTCACTAGAGCTTCAGAGGCTAATTGGCAGGGCTCCCATTTTTGATCCTTCTGTCACTGACTGGCTCTTCTCACCAGATTGTTGTGCTACTCAAGACACAAATCTATTTGATAAAGTAATATAAATTCTATTGAGTCTTATTAAATGTCACTGGAAGGGGGTAGTTACCTATTAAATTATATCTTCCCATTGATTCTGAGTATAAATTTAGAAATGTTTATCCAAGGAAATGATAACTCTGGATTTTTTTTTTTTTTTTTTTTT